CTCAACTCCAATCACTTTCCCACCACTTAAACATATCTTCTCTGTGCAATTCTATAAATATTTTCATGGTAATAATTCTAATGAACTTTCCTCTTTGGTACTCCTATTTCAAGTATTTAAGTGTTGTACTAGATTGGCAATAAAGTCTCATCATTTTACTGTTGAAATTGCTAAGTGTAACCATAAGTTCTATTTTAATAGCTTCTCTTGCACTTCTCACTTATGGAACTCTTTTCTGCTTTCTTGCTTTCCTGTCAACTACAATCTTCAAGAATTTAAATGCAACATCAAATCATCATCTGTCTCCTTGAATCCTGTTCTTATTATTGTCCTTTCTCTTCAATAATGTTTATCTCAGTTTCCTTCACTAAGTAACCCCTTGTTCCTTATCAGAGATAAGGATATATTTTCTGATGAACGAGAGAGCTGGAAAATATAAAAAGGAGTTTGAACATCATTATCCTGTCCTTGGTGTCATGAAGTCTGGGGGAGGCGCTCGCAGCTGTCGGACCCTTGCTGGCTAACAATGCCTTATTCTTATCAGAGATAAAAATATATTTTAACGAATGAAAGGGCTAGGAAATTTGTATAGCAATTTTGGAAGGAAATATCCCCAATATTTCTGAGCCTCTTGATCTCCATATATATGAAGAATCTTCACCTATTTGGCAGTGAGTAATCAACAACCATCTGTGATAACATCAGGTCAGTGGCAGAAAAGCAGTCATCTTCAAAAAAGTACTACCTACTTGGCTGTAAAGACAGAACGTTGGCCCACTACTAAAAACTAATTGAGATTGGCCTCCTTACAACTAGAAGATGTCTGTTGCCAGCCTACAAACTCACTCAACTACAAAATTCATATCGTCCGACAGTTTCCTCCTATACAAGAACAAATCTGTGAGTCTCTTTTTAATCCTTAACAACAATCTAATACTCATTAAAGAACTTTTTATGTGCCCAGAAAAATATATTGAGCTAGCCTTTTCTTTTTTATGAACATTTTTTCTTCCTTTAAAATTAAAGGAGTTTTCTTCTCCCTTTCTTTCTCTCATAATTATGTATAATGAAGAACGAGTAACCTGGAAGACAGAACTTGTTACTCTTGTTGTTTCTGCTGAAGAGGTTAATTTTTTCTTCGCTTCAGCAAACATAAATTTGAGGAAAAAGTAATACATCATATTTTGGGTAAATAAATATATAATTTATTTACATATATACAATGCCAGTATACTACTCGTTGCTGTTGTAAAAGGCGACAGAGTGGGGGAAGGAAGAAAGAAAGAGAAAGACTGTTAGCTGATGTTTTGTGAGGACGGCGCCGGCGAAAGGATGAAAGTTGAAAAGTATCATGTTCAGTCTGCCTGCGGTATTCTTGACCAATCTCTGCATGTTGGCATCTCAGCCTGCTGGTCACTCTCCCTCTGTCTCTTCTTTGCGGCATTGAATCAGGGAATTTATACCCATCGTATTGACTCCAAATCACAGTCTGTGTCTTTTAGCAGGAGTTATTTCTACTGGTCAATATATAAAGTTCATTTTATCATTTAATAATGAAAACATGCGTCAAGCCATGATGTACAGAGCCATGATGCGCAGAGATGCATTTTTGCATGCTGTCTTGGGTCGTCAAGCAGTCAGCATCTGGTTTAGTGTAAGAAACATGACAATATCCTTATACCCTTTTGTGTGCATGTACATTTTCTTCCTTTATTGTTACACACTGAGCGGGAGTTTAAGTCTTTATTCTTCTGCCTAAAAAGAGAGAATTGTCCGCTCTAGTCCTTCAAGCCATTGTTGCTTTTTTTTTTTCAATTTTGTTGCATTTTTAACCTCAACCCTTTCATATAGGAAAGCTGGGACAAATTTCACACAGTATAGTTCACAGCCATATGAATTAGTTCATCAGTTAGCACCAAATCTGTCTTTCTTTCCACATATCTAGTGGCTCTCAGAGCTTATCTTCTAGTGACACTAAAAGCAGAAACAGGAAGTTACCTCTTTCATAGCTTATAACATAATGGCATATTTTGGGCTTTGCACAATAGGCTCCATGCATAACTTCCGGTTGAAGTTGATTAAATACAATCCTAAATAAATATATGTGGACCAATAAGAAATGAGCCCACCTAAAATAACAACTTAATTGAAGCCTCTTTCAACTTCGCTAACAATATAAATAGACCCCTGTCTCAAAGAAAAAAAGGGGATTTCAACTGGAGACACAGAGAGAGATGAACACTTACACCTGCAACATCAAAGGCATCTCGACTTCAAAAACTACTACTACTCCTCACACCTTTCTCATCATTTTCACCCCCTTTTATTTCTCTCATACATTCAAACTCAACTTCCTTATTCACAGGACATATTAACAAATGAAACTAGCATCTCTCAAAAACACTTAAGTACTTTTACAAACTCTTGTATTCATTGAAATGTAATTAAAAAAATATTTCATTTAATCTTACTTAAATACCAACCTTGTGCCATCTATGAACATTACTACTGTTTTTGTACAATATGGAACCACTTATTAATGTTTATATAAATTATTATTTTTATATTCCAGACTAGATTATTTTAAAATGTGATTTATCATGTTTTATTTACTCATTCATACATCCCTTATAATGGGCTAATCATAACAAGGCCCAAATCTAACCCTACAAATAACACACTATAATCTTTAGAAGACATGGGTGTCACTTTTAAAAGAATTTTTTTTCCTGGGAGAGAAAGAGAGAAAAGAGAACATCACTTCCCTTATCCTGAATATTAACAAAAAGTGCATACAATAACAAACAAAATTCAGAGCTATTACATAGACATATAAAACATAACAAAATAAAAATTTTACAAAAAAGGTTTGCACAAAAACTTCCTTTTATGCACCTTATTATAAACAAGGCAAGATAACATATAGAAAATTGTAGAAAATACAATTTTTCAAATCATGAACAAAATCTTGAGAAGAAAAAAACTGTTGAAAAATGAAATAATTTACCCTTAGAAAAAGGTGCTCCTACCTAATAGATAAACAAAAATATCTATTTTGCTTATCCCACGTGTGTCTATGGGAAGGTTCTCTTTATTGTTCTTTTTAATCTGTTAGCAACTTTCACACATGAGTGCCAAAATCTCTTTTGCAGCCAGCCAGCCTACCTCCCTTGCATCTGATGTCCAAGGACCTACTCTATCTCCCAGCACCCAGCCAACCTCTGTTGCATGTGATGTCTCACTACCTTCTGATTTTGTCTGCTAACCCATGTTTATATATATTCTCAGGAGTGTATCAAATGAGCTCAAATTTATGAGGATGGAAGCTACCTCTTTTGATTGGACAAAAAATATGACAAATATATTTTTCTAAATTTGTAAAAAAATGTATCACCAACAGTCTACCATGACAGTTATTTCTGGTGATCCTTTTTAGAGTCAATTCTAAATAAAAAAAATTACACACAAATGAAACAATTTTTAATAAACCATCTGACTTTCTTTTAATACACTTTTCGCAAAAGTAAGTGTATAAAACAAGCTTAAACTATTTAATAATTATTTATTTACGCCTTTTAATTAAGTATTATTTTGAATTATTTTATACCACTAACTAATAAAAAAATATATACTTTGGTTAAAAAATTATTTTGGCTTTATTCTTTTTCTTTTAAATTTCTTCTCTTTTCATCTGGGCTACTTCCATAGATCAAAAGGAAGCTGAGTTTCACTAATTTCTCAATTGATTGGTGTCCTTGAAGATGAATGCTTCCAGTTTTATTCCTACATGATAAAGCATAAAAACAGTAAATGAAAAATATAAGTAAGATCTATGTTATGTATAATTTTAAACAAACTATTTTAAAAAAAAATAAATGATTTGCTTTCAGTGTATTAAATTTAGAAATAAAATGCATACATAGTGTAAAAATAAAATTGCATATGATTGACATCACAAAAAGTTAAAACCATGAGATTCATAACACTAAGACTTAACTAATGTTTTTATCCTGATTTCAGTAATTTTAATCATTTCATAATGTCAACAATATTGATAAGGAAATTGAACTATACAAGAATTGTATTCTAATGAATATACAATGTACAGAAATAGTTTGAAATAAGTAAATTTCATAGCTAAAAACTTTCAAATATCCTAAGTTTTTATGATGTCAATATTTTCCAAGTGATGATTGAAGTGAAACTAACTTCCAGTATATTTTTCAAAAATTAACCCATCTGAGAATTTTTAATATATTTTTCAAATTTATTATTAAAATTTAAAAGTACAATTGAAAAAACAGGGATAGTTCTTTATTCACCACAATAACATCAATTTTTGGCATTTTAAAAGACCCTTTATGTGATTCCTTGCAAGTATTGACAGATAACTTTTAATATTCTCTCTGTAAAGATATAGTTACTTTTTTTTCTACATCTTTTTCAGTTTTCAAACGGAAAGGAACCAGAATACACTGACAAATTTTTTTTAACTTTTTAAGACTCAAGTTAAAAATTAAGAACTTATCCCTGAAAGTCTTCTCTTAAAGTGAAAGTAGAAAAAAAACTTGCAATTGAGTTAATGAAAACATTGATATTGAATTATTAACACAGTTGTATATTTTTCAAGTCCTTTTCATCTACTCTTAAAATTTACATATCCATTCTAATGACATTAAAAACGTAAACGCTTCATCGTGATTTATTTTTGTTTTAAATTTTGGAATATTTTAAGCCCAGTGAAGCTTAATTTATTTTTATTATTTTAAACCTCACAAAATCAAACAAACCCATTTAAAACAATAAAATAAAAACATGCGCATTTTAAAAGTTATTCTATTTTCACAATTGCGAATCTAATGTAGTTTTAAGCCCAAAAGCTTTTAAAAATGTATCTTTCGAATCTGCGGCTTTGTTATTTTCTCTGATTGGGAAATTTCGTCGTATTAATGGCGGGTCCAGCGACATGCTCAACTTCTAATTTAACGCAACATCATGCAATGAAGAATAAAATTGTGCCTATTTCTTCCAAGGTAAATAATAAACATAAATGATATCTATCTACGAATCATACAACTTTGTTGAGATCGTAACTTATCCGAACTTTTACGATGATTGTTTTCGCCAGTTTGTTTTTAAATTTAATGTTTTTTTTTTAAATATCGCTATCGGTGTTAAAAGTGCGAGTCTGTCTTCTTAGTTTTGCAAAGCAAAGATTTTTTTAATAGTCTCGTATAAAAATTTCCCATTTTCTGAGCCATCCCTTGTGGATCTTTTTATTTCATTTAGCAACTTCTGTACTTTGCAATTGAATAAATAAACTTCTCTAACTTTTTTTTTTACTGTTTCTTTAGAGACATTCTAAAAGTCGGCGAGAAAGAAATCAAAACCCGTAAAAATTCGCAATGTTATTGAACTAAAAACCGTTTTTTTTTTTATAAATTAAACATTAAATAATATTTTAAAAAACAATTCTTTAAACATATTTTCAATTTTCATGTTTTAATGTAATGTGCTATTAAACGTTAAAAATAAAAAAAATAAAAAAAATGTATTTTTTAGTGTTTTACTTTTTTGTGTCTTCTCTCTGAATTTTATTGACGTTTTTTCGGTTTTTATGCAGAGATTTTTTAATTGTTAAAGTTAAATAAATTAACAGTACTGAACCCAAAATGAAATATTTGAAATTTCAAGATTGTTTTGTTTTTCCCCCCTTTGTTACCAAACACGATTTTTAACTAAAGTTGTAGAAATGATAATAGTTGCTAAAAAATGATAATAGTTGTTTAAAAATAGATTATTTAAAAAACATTGATTTTGTAAAAAAAATAAGTCTATTTTAAATTAGAATAATTATTAGTTTAAGTAAGTTTTCCATAGTTCATTTAACATTTTTCAACCACGGGGTAATTTTCTGTTTTTCTTGAGACAGTCAGTCAGTAAAAAATTATAGAAAACGCCAGTTTCATAATTATTATTTTTTTTAATTAAACCGCCACTTTTGCACATGTACGTTTTGATTTTTTAGATTTTTTTTTTAAATAAGAAAATATAATTTTTACAATTGCCGTAGGTATGTCTTACTCTTACTTTTCTAATTACTAAAAAATCGTAAATGTTGGTTTTGTTTCCCGAGCACTAATATCCCTTAAAATCTTTCCAAAATCGTCATAATTCCGTGCAAATGTACATGCTGAGCTCGAATTAACAATTAAATTATGAAGAAACGTTACCGTTTTGGAGTTAACGACAAGAAAAAATCGGACTTCTTCTTGGTCATTCGTCCCCCATTACTGCCATCATGAATTCTCATTCGCTGCGGGATACTTGCGCTTGCTTTTGGCCTATTTACTTCTTTTACAGACTTTCCTTGCAGGAAATCACTACGCACTACCTTAAAGAAATGTAATTTTTTTTTTTTTGTTAAGTGTAGTTTTATTTATAACAAAAACAAATTAAATAATACAACAGAACCTTTTTTCCGAATGGCAATGACAAATTAAGAGAATAAATTGAATAATAAAAATTAATCATTTTTTAATATTTTAAAATTGAAAATAAAAAATAATTAATGCACAAACTTGGTAAATTATTTAAAGTTTTTTATTTTTTAATTTGTCCCCTTTTCTACACAGAAAGAAAACCCCATCCCTAACCTTAACACCTAACTCTAAAGTTAACCCGGTTTATGGTATTATTTAATTTTTTTTTTTTAATTTGTCCCCTTTTCTACACAGATTAACTTTAGAGTTAGGTGTTAAGGTCAGGAGTGGGGTTTTCTTTCTGTGTAGAAAAGGGGACAAATTAAAAAAAAAAATTTAATAAAATAAACCGGCTTAACTTTAGGGTTAGGTGTTAGGAGTGGGGTTTTCTTTCTGTGTAGAAAAGGGGACAAATTAAAAAAAATTAAATAATACAATCAACCCTTCTACTTTTACCACGGCCCTGGTATTGTTGCAGTGGGTTTTATCAGGACTGGAATCCATGGTGTTTTTAGTTAATACTTTAAACATATGGGGGTGGGTAGCCTACTCCGGAAAGTACAGTCCTGGTATTGTTGTATTGGTGTTTTATTTATTATTACTAATTATTTTTTACTACTAATTAATTATTTTTTTACTACTAATAATTATTATTTATTTATTGCAGTTGTCCCAGTTGATAGAATTAAGTGAAAGACTTTCGTCAGATGACAGTCTTCCTACTTTGTTACCTGATTCAACAAATGCTTCTGTCTTTGTGCATGATGTTCGCGAAGCTGGAGAAAGTTTAATTCAAGTAGCTAAAGAATGGATTAACAAATGCGAAAACACAGTAAGTATTTGTTATACTTTACCTTTAATTATGAATATATTTCTCAGTTTTATCCAGAATTACTTTTTTTGCTGTGCAAAATAAATAAATACAATAACAATTATTTTTTTTGCTTCTCCACGAAGATCAATTTCAATATAGGGAGTTTTGCAGAAAAGGTGTAAGGACTACCAACCACGCTATATTTTTAATGCAATGAAGTGGTGTGACCATAGCAGTGAAATCTATAGGCACTACATCTAGCCCAAAGAGGAGACACAACTGGTCCTAAGCACAAAAAAAAGACCAAGATGTTTAGAATTACATCAAATCACATTGATATTGGTGTGTCAGAACACAAGATTTGTATTTTTCTATCTTAAAACATTAAGGTGTCATTGATCCTTCATTAAAATAAGTTTATACATATAATATATATATATATTTGCCATGGAATATATTGTTTAAAAATATATTGTAAAGTAATCCTCATATTTTGACTTTTATTTTTCTTTAAATTTCTGTCTTAAGCTTTGCTTTTGCAAATATGTGTGTGAATATATATGCAAATATATATATATATATATAATATATATATATATATATATATATATATATATATATATATATAATCTGTGCACATACACGCATGTACCTGTATCTGTACTGTTTACCTGCACATTAATTTAATGTTACTTCTTGATCACATTACATTTAATGGAAGTTTTTCCTGTGTGGTAAACTGGTTGTGAGCTTATCTCAACACTTTCCAAAGAAGAAATCATGGGACTTATAGCTATCACCTCCATTCTTAATCCTTCTCCTGCCACATTACCTAGCTGGTTCTAATGAATTTGAAAAACAACTGTAAATTCCCTCTTTGTGTCTGTGACAGGAATAATTGTAATTCTAAGTTTGAACTCTTTTTCTCTTTTTTTTTTTCTTTTTCTTTTTCAAAGCAGCATAAATAACTTTCCTATGCATGCCGTCACCCTAACGACTATGCTTCTGATACTACCCCAAATGGGGATGCACATGCTCCCCCAAGTAACCTTCATTACCCCCTCTCTCTCTCTTCCAATGGGTCTTTTAGTCTTCATGTATAGGTCTCTGGCTGGTAAACACATACATTCAGAATATCATACCTGAATCTTTCCAGGGTTATTTGTCCCCTCATTAAGTGTGCTGGAGGTAAACATTTTCTGAGTTTTGGTGTTATCCACCTGATAGTCATGGATCCAAACCTTCAAGTAACTTTGAAGAAAGCTATTCTATCAGCAGGTGTATAATATTGGGGCTATTGTACTGCCATTTTGTGAATGGTTTCTGGATCGTGCAGTAATCTTCGATGTGGCCTCTTGATGCCATGATGATGGATACTATTATGGCAGTATCTTTGGACAAGTCAACTCAGGTTATTTATACATGCATCTCCAATGGGTGTCTTTCTCATTGCCTAATAGTCATCCACCAAACCAAAACAAACATGAAAGCAATCAAATTGAAAACAAACAAAAAACTACCAAACCCAACCTCAAAAAAAAGTAGACCCTAGGTATACCATCTCCTCCACCAATGTAAGGGGTCTATGATCCAACCTTCCAGAAGTGGAACTCCAGCTTATCATTCTAAACCCGATCTCCTGTTCCTGTCTGAAATAAGTATCAGTGCCTCAATCCCATTGCAGGAGCTCACAGTCCCACCTAAATCACCATGGCCATGGACTCAGTGGCTACATCAAGGATGGGCTTAACTTTGGCAGGGACACAAAAAAATGAGGACCATGATCTCCGTAATATGTGCTTTTGTTTGGCACCTATCCATAGTACCAGATTCATCTTTGCTCTTTATCACCCTCAGGATGAAGGGTTGGTAATCTTCAATCAGATATCAGAGAAGATTGAAAATATCCTCATCGAATTTTCCTCGGCCAGTTTTCACATATATAGTGACTTCGATATTCATGATGAGGAAGGTAGATATTGCAGAGACTTCTCTATCACCTATAAACTAACCCAGATCATTGAAGAACCCTGATGGTAGTTGTTAACAGCCAGTCCTCTGAGGCTCTGGTGGTCAGCACAGTTGTCAACAGAGGTCGTTTCTCAGACCAACCCTCTTTCTGATTTACATAAATGATCCTCCTAAGAATATACTCAGATCATTTATAAACATCTATGCTGATGATCCGATAATATACAGGCGCACCTCTAAAACTCTTGACAATCAGAGATTGGCAGCTAACCCCCCTCTTCTGATCTAACACTAACTTCCCAATGGGATAAAAACTGGCTGGTTACATTCAAAACCAAGCTAGTTGCATTCCATCACCGCCAATCAGACCCCGAGCTACTGCCAGTCACGATGAACGGATGTCCCCTCGAGGAGGCCCCGTGTCTTAAGAGAATGTTGGGCCTCAAACTCACACCCAACCTCAAGTAGAATTCTTATATACAATCTATCGCTAAAGATGCAGGTAAAATGATCAGCTCCCTGTACCATTCCAGTAACTACCTGGCTCCTCATGCTATCCCCTACTTTTATAAGAAACAGATCAGACCAAAAATAGAGTACTGTTGTTATATTTGGGTGGAACTGGTCAGTCCTCACTTTCCAGTCTTGATAGAATTCAAAATCATCTCATCTCTGAGTCCTTGTTGGAGAAGAATTATTTTCCACCCTTCAACCTCTCTCTCACAGGTGGGATGTGGCAAGTTTCTGACTGTTCTATTTCTACTAGTATAGGAAGTGCTCAGACGGACTACATTCCTTGATTCCACCAGGTCCAACCTTCATGGCTAGGACCCACCATACCATTGACATAGTAGCAAACCCCACCTACATTCCCTCCGTATTCCATCGGTGAAAAGTAAGTTCCGCTCAAATAGCTTCTTCTTGCGAACCACTGCCCTGTGAAACAGACTACCAAAAAGATGTTTCCTCAATCACTACAATCTTAACCTATTCTAGAGTTAACCATTATCTTCCCCTCCTATCCATATAAACTACCCCTTAATATAACCCTCTTCCTTGAGTGGCCCCTGGGCCTTGTACAGGGTGAACCTTACTATAAAAAAAAAAAATCAATCATTTCATTGATTCTATTAAAATGACATAAATGCATAAAATCCAGTCTTTTGCCATTGTTAACTAAATAGTAAATATTCAGAAAGTTATATTTGTATGTGCAATAAAATCTAAATATTTCTTTTATATAATTATTAATTCACTTCCACATATATGTAAAAATATGCAACTGTATACGCATTTTCAAAGGGAGTTCTTTAATAAAACAATAAAGTCTAATATTTTGTATTTCAGAAGAAATTATTATTTCAGAATAATTTTATTATGCATGTTTGTATGTAGGACTATTATGTTCTCCCTAGGATCAAAGTGTAATATCTGCTCAATACCTGCTACGCTTGAGCTGGAAGCAAAACCCATAATTTCTAAGCCACAAACTGGGTTAGTTTTTTTAATTTTTATTGTCGGTTTAATTTTCATAAAGTACTTTTATAGCCCAATACTCCTTAATCTTCAGGATTGACACAAAAACCCCCAGATATGCTGATACCTTATATCAGAATAGCAGATTCCATAAATTGGGACAGTCCTAGACAAACTGAGATATAAATAAGCTTAAACATATAATATTTTTGAGAAACTTAAATAATATTAAGCAGGAAAGAATTGGGAATTAGAGGGAGAAGAAGGAGGAAAAGGGTGAGGAAGGGGAAAAATAGGAGGTAAGAAAACTAGAGAAAAATAAAAACCAGATGAAAGAAAAAATAAATATATATATAAATATATATATACAGAGAGAGAGAGAGAGAGATGGGGATGAATGAAAACAGATAACTAGATGGGATACAAGGAGCAAATTACATTACATTTGAAAGTCAAATATTACTAAATCTATCCCAATAGATTTTTTTATATGTATTTCTGATAATAATTGGAAATAGTAGTGAATAAAAATTCAAAAACAAAAAAATTAATTTATGTACATGTAAGAAAATAAAATTAGGTTTTCCTCCAATTTTTCTTTTTAATAATATAAATTTTCTGAAAGTTTCTGTGTAATTGAATGTTTTTATTTTTGTCAAGAGCATGTTTTTTTGACAATCCTGTAGTCATATTTATAAGTGCATATTTATTAGTAATAACACTCTCTGAAAGTTAACAGAAAAAAATCACATTTAGTATTTTTCAATTAGTTCATTAGATATTTATTAAATACACATTCCCATTTTAAAATTTTATTGCCTTGTGCTTAAAAGTACTTACAAAGAAGCTTATTGAGAATTTATTTATACTTTGACAACAATTCAAGATGTGATGGATGCATATATTTTTTAACATATTTTTTTGTTTTCTGCAGAGAGCAAGTGCCCAAATGAAGCAGGCTAGTGAGAATCTTCAAGAAACTGTTGATAAAGTCTGTCAGTTGTCAGTGAATCTTAATTCTGACAAACATTCTGAGACATACAAGGAGCTAGTATTGGTTTCTAACCACCTACTCCAGTACACTTTTCAAGTGAGTTTAAGTTGTATTAAATTAGTCTTTCTTTATTTGATTTTACTTTTTTTTGTAGAGTAACAAAATATTAGATATTAAAATATCTATTAAATAAATACTAATTAATTGATAAATATATGATTGTAGGTATGAGTAGTTAAAAACCTATTCTCATCTTACAAAATATATTACATTGTGTTTAAAATATACTAACATCATTAAAAAAAGAAGAGAGATATCTTGCTAAAAATAACATTTTTTCTGTTAAATTATTAACTATCATGTAAGTAGAAGAGAAAATAATGACAATCAAAATGTTGACTTTTTACACTACCCTGAAAAGGTTTAGAAAGAATCCCCTGCTCTCCATCTGCACTAGAAAGAATGATAATAATTTGTACGCTTGCAAAATCTAATGTCCTGAGAAACTTTTTAAGAAAAGGATTTTACACCGGGGTGCCTGCTGCAGCACATATCGGTGGTACAGGCTTAATGTCCTTTTTTATGGCATTGTACCATCTTTGTGGCACACAGATCAATCTGTCAGCAAGTTTGCAGTTTAATGTTACTAATGTTACATCCACGGACAGATCATATTCAGTGACTAGTTTCTTGATAGTCTCCAAACTCCTTCTGATCAGTATCTCACTCACTGCCTTGATGTGCACTCTGGCTTTACCTGTGAAGGTATCCAATACCCAATGGTATATGCATAAGGTGTTAGTTTGTATATGCAACTTTTTAACCCTCCACTGGAGCGCTAAGTTGACACCCTTCAGTACAGCATCCAGCTCTGCCAGGTTAATATGTGCGGCGTCATTCATTGGTCACAACCAGCACATGTCCTCAATTGCAGTTCTGTCCTTATCCAACAAGACTCCAATCACTTGCATCGACACACACATTCATTTCTTCTCCATACACACACCAATCTCCTCTGGCAGGGTCATTTTTCTTTACTCTTGCTATGGCCTCCATCACCTTGCAAATAAGCAGAGGGTCAGTCATCTCATCATCCCAACCCTTGGTGACCATGCTTGCCCTGCACTTTACAATGCCTGCTGCCACGCAGTCATCTGCACATTGGTAGGTGCCCCACAAGCCTTCCACATAGGGAAAAATTTCTTGCCTTGTTAGGACGTCAGGTTCTGTTGGAACTGCAGTTTCACGTCTCCATTGTAAGGTTCCTTGCTTACCTTGAACATCCAAGCCCAACACATGGGTGCCATCTCCCAGTCATTCTGGGTCCTTGCAGATTAAGCCAAACTGGGCCAATTTAGCTCTTACCTGCTGTGATGACACTGTCTTCATTTACATAACTGTCATCAATGTATGTTGACGTTCCTTCTTTTACTGTCTCTTCTTGAGACAACAAAGCACTGATAATCGCCTTCATTATTTGTGGTGCCACATTCAATCCAAAGCTCAGTCTGGTAAGGCAGTACCTTCTGCTGGCAAATATCACTGTCTAAAACAGCCACCATGATTCACTAACTCAGACTTGCAAATAGGCCTTTCTCAAATCCAGCAAGGAGACATTAGATCCATGATGTCGCCATTCCCACAGTTTACTGGCACAAATATCAGTATCAGCCATGAACGCGTCGACATATTAGTTCAGCTCCCAGAAATCCATTATAGGTCTGACTTTTGACTTGTTTGGTTGCACAATCGCAATCAAAGGTATCAGGCCTTTAGGAGGTCCAAGTTTATGAGGATAGGGAATCAACTAGCCATCTTTAATCCATGTGTGGAACTCCTTTTCATATGCAGGTCTTATTTGGTTGGGCACATAGTATTTAGCGACACGGTTTTGTAGCATGGCTGGTTCCTGGTCTCCTGACCATTTCCACAAGGCAGTCCAAATCTTCTGACCCTGTTCAAATACAATACTGAAGTCAGGTTGGTCAACATTGAGTGCTGCACACACGGGGACCTCCTTCTGAAACTTCACTGTTCCAGTCTAAGGCTTTGATGGCATCATAACCCAGTAGCAGATCAAAGTTTAATGGCTGCCCATGTACCACCAGTGCTTCGACGTTGGTGAAATTCCCAGTGTTTGCACAGATCCTGACTACCCCTATCCCATAACATGCACACGTTTCACCACTTATGGTGATCACACTGACTTTCCTCTTCTTCCAAGCACGGCAAAGTCCAGCACTTACTATAATGCGAGAGCATCTGGAATCGAGGAGTGCTGAGCACGGTGTCTCATTGATGCAGATTTGAATGACCGGCAGTGCCTTATTTGTACATTGTCTGGGGAAGAAATTGGCACCATTCTGTCCCAGCAATCCTGAGCAATATGCCCGGCCTCATTGCATTGATAACAATGCACATGCACTAATTGTTTTCTATCCTTGCAATTTCTTGCCACATGGCCCCAGCCATTGCATTTATAGCAAATGATTCCGGTGCGTGATCCCGAATCGGGGGAAGCTCTAACACTACTTTGGTAGTGTGCAGTGTCATTGCTGTCCAGAAGGCAAAGATAACACAGAAGAGCCATCAAGAATACCACCATTTTCAAGTCTCCAATAACGTACAATAAGAAATAGTTTGTTGCATGTATGTATTTCTTATTTAACAGTTAAAATATTTAATCCTTGAAAATAGCTAAATGTATAACCGAAAGCGCTCAGATTAAAAGAAAATTCGGACAGTTTTTATATAATTTATCAACAGAAAAGAAAAAAATTATTAGATTGCATGTGAAGTTGTTTAAAAAAACTAAATCAAAGCACCTTGTCTGTCGTATTCAATGAAATGTGCATAAAAGAAGGATTGCTGCCTAAATACACATATATATATATATATATATATATATATATATATATATATATATGATAATTTTTAAAACACAGATCATAATTTATTTCTAAAATAAGATATAATAATATCACACTGAATAAAATAATAAGTTAAGGTACCTTTCGACCAACTCATCTTCAGAAATTGATATCATCAGTATAAAACTAAATTGCCGAAAAGAAAAATTTTTTTTCAACAACTGAATTTTAAAATAGCACAAAAGTGGGGTGAGGAAAATAAATTAAGTATTTTCTCTCAATTTGGCCTAGAATTGGCTATGAATTCACCAAAAAGTGTAGTTTTAATTCTCTCTGCTTACACATTCAGATGTTGTATATTAATAACTGCCCCCATAATGTTAAGGTGGAGTCTCATCCATGCCCTGTGCAAAACAGAGAAGAAATTCTCAGAGTAGGAATTTATATTACACTCAGCTGATGGGTAGGCAAGACATCCTTACAGACAGAGGGAAAAGCCCTTTTGGTAGAAAAAATATTCTAGACTACTACAGAATTAAAACACCACCTGACAGAAGAAGATATTTTATCGGAGTATACCTGACTACTGGGACCAATCCACATTAGTTTCATGTATACAGGATACTTAGATTGACCAAACACTTCAACTCCATTAAGCTTAGCAATTTTAAGTCTAATGGTAGTTATTATCACACATTTAGAGCAACCATTTGCCAGAAACAGCTGTTTAATTTGCCTAAGCTTGGTGTCAAGCTTGCACTTTGATCATCATTTCCTGGTTTTGGGAGCAAAAGAATACCAATGGAGACATACCCCCGGAATGGTGGGTTTCCTATAAACACTAGTAAGAAAACATTTCCCTCAACCAGCATTGTTCTTTTCTACCTCTATACTAAATTTCAAAGAAGGGTGGAGATTATGTAAGTATTGAAAAAAATTTTTTCTTCATTACAGGAAGAAAATGATGTAAATGTATCGTCAACACAATGGAAATAACAATAAGGCTTCAAGATCTTGACAAATGATCATCTCTCATAGAAACTGACAAAAATGTTTGCAATAAGAGGCCCCAAAGGACTACCCATCATGACTACATCGATCTGTCGGTATATGTAATTTTAAAGCTGAAGGAGACAGACTTGGTAACCATCTCCATTAACTCAACAAAAACAACCTCCGGAAACAATGGAGGTTTTATGGGGCCACGATATAGAAAGTCTACGCAAATATCGTTGGTTTCATCAAGCAAGACATTTGTAAACAAACTGGATATATCAAAAGACACAAAATACTCAGTGTTAATAGTGGGTTGCAATTTGCACATAAATGACACAAATTTGAAAGAGTCTGGTACACAATACTCTAAATAGAAATCTAAAACTGGATCAAGAACCACAATAAGACACTTAGCCAAACTATGCTGGGTAGAACCTACCATAGACAAAATAGGACCGAGTAGACTGTCCATGTGAATTTTTGGTAACCCATATATCTTTGGATGTTGGAAACCAACAAGCCAAATGTGAAACAACAGGTTGTTGAAAAAAATTTACTTTTCAGCAATTTTATACCAATGATATTGATTTCTGAAGATGAGTTGATTGAAAGGTACCATAACTTATTATTTTATTCAGTGTGATATTATTGTATCTTATTTTAGAAGTAAATTATGATCCCTGTTTTAAAAATTATCTTATCTTCATGTGGCTCCAGAAACTTGTTTATATATATATATATTATTTTAACTGATGATATTAAAATGAAAATACAGATGTATAAATTGTAATATGAAGTGTTTCTTTTATTTCTTGCAAATGTTCTATTAGATGTTTTAAACAAATATTAGCCATACACCCTCATTATATTTATTCATGTGGATATAATTTTTTACTGTTAAATCATTCATTCTTTTCAGATTTTTTTGATTGCAAAAGAATCTGAACTGAAAAACCTTTCCGATATTGTCACAAGAGTGAAAAATAAAGCTTCTATGTTGAAATGGAACATCACAAGTGCAGAAAGTATGACAAAATATTTCAAAGTAAGTTCATACTATTGTTTTTATTGTTTAGACATTCACTTAATATCTTGTAAACTAATTTGTGTTAATATAAAAGAATTGAGTGAAAAATAAAGTCATCAATCCTATAAAGCAAGTTTTAAAATAGATAGAATAATGAAGTAAATTTATTTCTCTTCAAAATTACAAGTTTGTTTTTCAATATAGCCACTATTTAGTGCTACACATTTTCCCACATATTCTATCCACATTTTTATTCTCTATAGGATGAAAGAAACTAGTTTATTTTTAATCCATATGCACACATCTTCAACTTTGGCATTGGATGACAAATACTGACCTTTCAATACCTCTTTCAATTTTGGGAGCAACCAAGTCTAGTGGTGCCGGATTGGTGCTGCTTCCATGCTACTCACTGTTGGCCTGTGTGGCCTTGTGTTATCATGATGCAAAAGTTCTCCTTTCTGGTCTTATTCTGCAGATACATTGTTTAAGTGCTTACAAGGTTTTATTGGTTTTACACGTCTGTGAATTTTGATTGGTGCACAACATTTTAATGCCAAGAATTCTGTTACTTTATACATAACTTGACCTGAAAGCTACAACTCAATGCCATTACACATTGAACTGATATTAAACACATTTAAACAGGATTTTGTATACTTCCAAATACATGTTCATATATGTTCTGTTCACAATTCAATACATGATAACCCTTATATCTAATTTTAATTATTTTCTTTCATTGGGAAATCATTTATTTTTATTTTAGGAACTGACTGAGGAACTGTTACTTTTAAACAAACTTTGTATGCGAAGACACAAGGAACTCATTGGTGAACAACAACAAAAGGATATGATTGTTAATGGGTTGCATATGATTCGAATTATTTTTCCTTCATTACAAGAAATTCTAAAGACTTGCTTGGCTAGACCAAATGATGAACATGCTAAAGTATTTTCATTTTTACTAACCCTATTACTGAGATTCCTGTATAAATTCAGTTCTGTCCCAAAAGAATTTAATTGAGAAAACATTCTGGATTTTTAAAGAAAATTAAAAAAGAACTTGTTGATATATAACAATATATTCAAAAAATGTAATATTTTTTCTTAGATACAAAATATAAAGTAATGACCTACAAAAGAATTCTTTTTGTAGATAGTATCTCATGGGAATATGAGCATAAGCTTGGAAAATAAAAACTTTACTTTGGATTTAATACTAATTTCTTGTTGGGATTGAATACTGCAATTCTGTAATTTAACTACAACTTTTACTAAACCAAATCAGTTTTCTTGGCTGATTTTACTCAAACTGTGTGTTCATTGGTCTGGTTTCCTGAGTTTTATAAAAATTGAATTTAAAAATTAAATGAAAATGAGGAACCAGTCAATTAAAATTGTAAAAAAGGTAACAGTAAAGTATAATAATTATCAAAAATGCAACTTTAAAAATAATATCTTAATAAACTTACATAAATAAAAGTAAACATTTGGGGATTATGTAAATTCTGTTGTGGCATGATATTATTCACCAGATATTAGTTTTTGCAAAACTTAAATCAGAAAAACATTTTATCCTGGAACAATTATTTATGAATTCAGTATCTAATAAAAAGTGTGTTTTAGTTCATTACAAATGCTGTAATGTAACTTGGAACTAAACAAAATAGAGATGTTACAGTGACATGCAAAAGTATTAGGCCTTTTTAAGAAAATAATAATTTCCACGATTGTTACTATCATGAAACTTATACTGAATATATTAAGTACTTACAATATGCTATATATAAGGAGAAATAAATGTTTGCCTACAAATAAATTTATTAACAAATACGATAGAAAGTGATTTGACTAAGTTTTGGATCAATTCTGAAAATATAAAGGAAACAAGATAAAAATGACAATTTTGCATTGACTTCTGAAATTATTCATTTGCAAGTTTCTTCTGACCAATTAGAGCATGCTATACATCATGGCTGACAACTTATAACATCTACATATGCTTTGAACAGTCATTGAAGATCTGACTGGCATGTGCAAAGGTTTTTTACAATGGCAAAGACAAAAAAAGATCTCTCAAGAATTTTGTGAGTTGGTTGACTATCATTGTATATTTAAAAATTTCTAATAAGCTCAAGATTCTTCTTATTACAATTAGAACCATCATTTGAAAACAAAAGGAACATGGCCTGACTACAAATCTGCCTCAAAAAGTGCACCTTTAAGTAAGTGAATGAGCAGCTAGACCTATTTGTTGGAAAGTAATACACAAACCATTAACAACCTGAGGAGAATTTCTGAAGGATCTGCAGGCAACTGGTACAAAAGAATCCTTAAAAAACCCTTCTAAAGTTCATTCATGTGAAAACCCATCTAGACTTTGCTCATCATTGCCTTGAGAAGACTGCCTCATCAAGGAATGAACTCTTTGGTTGAAACAGTTTGTGTCTGGAGAAAGGACATATCATATGACCCTTCCCCAACATAACAACAGTTAAACATGTAAAAATATAATAATTTGAGTTTGTTTTTACTCCAGTGGTACGGGTGCACTAAGGAACATTGAATAGTACAATGTATCACAAAATACTGAAGAAGAACATGTTACTATCTGTGAAATTTTTCAAATTACCAAAAGATTTGAATTTTCAGCAAGATAACAGTCCCAATCATACTGCAATTAAAATGAGAAAGTGGTTCCAGGCAGAGAATATAAGATTCTAGGCTACTTTTAAAGTCTGGTCTGGTCTGTTGCTTAACCCGAATCTGATAAAAAACCTGCGGAAGGGGGCTTGAGTGATCTTAAAGCAAATTGTGGGATAAAATTGGTTTTAATTTCTGAATGAAGCTTATCTCAAATTATTCCAAATGTTTGACAGCTGTTATATTAAATGATAGATATGCCATTAAATATTAAACACTCGTTATTGATATATGTTGAAAACATTTGTATCTTACTTTGTCAGTAAATTTATGTGCAGGCAAGCATTTCTTTATATTCTCCTTATACATGTAACAGGGCTGTGGCCTTGGTTGAGTCATACTAGTATATGGAAAGTGGATAGTGATTTGAGGTATTGAGAGATTTGATAATTCTGTGCAAAGAAATAGATATTACGAGAAAAATATGGGAGAATGGTTATTTGGATTGGAGTCTGATGGAAAAAGTCTGGTTTAAAAATATTAATTTAAATGCATAAAATACTTGCATTATTTACATTATTCGGACTGTTATCCTCATCTTCATTGCCATATTCACAACGTTTCAACCATTGTACACTCTGGCCTTCTTCAGGTGATTTGAATTTCAAACCAAACCCTTTATTTCGTCCATCAGGGTAAATTGTTCTAGTTCCACATGCCATGCCCCTTCCAGATGTCTCAGTTATTTCACTTTGAACTCTTATTAAACCAAGTAAGATTTAGTATTGACACCCAAGGGAAGTTGGCATGACATGACTAATGAGTTTGTCAGAAGTCCACAGGATTTTCAATCACTCTTGTTTATTTAGAAACCCATTTGTTTTATTTGCATTGATTTCAATGTAATTCTGGAAACTTAAAAATCCAGGCCCAAACCAAAAACTGTAAGATGTCTCTTAGTACCTCAAAGGGTCGAAAAATGAATAATTGACATGAAGCAGCTCCATAGCTGTTGTACAATTTTACATTTCACTTCTAATTCAATTGTTAATAACTTTGCAACAGTTTCATTTTCTTTTGATTGGCACATTTACCCCTTTTCAGCTGGATTGCCCAGCATAGTTGATCAAATTCTTGTTCAGACCAACAAAAAAAATCAACAGCTAGTGAATTCCTCACATAATGAACTGAATCTACTAGACAACACATCCTGGAGAAGCAAACAAAAGCTACCTTCATTGAAGTGTAAAAGATTATATACAAAGTATATCTGAAGTATTTAATATATTCAGCTCAAGTTTTAAGTTAATAGCAATAATAGAAATTATTATTTTCTTAAAATATCCTATCTGTTTCACACTTTTGCATGTTGCTGTATGTTACATTTGAAAGCTGATTACAAGTATAGAGGAAATAAGAAATGATAGACTAACTTGGAACTGCATGTATTATTATTGATTAGCTTTATTTCTTTTGTCATTTATAGTCACGGCGAGATTTCGTAATTCATCGTATAATCACAGCAGCATCCCTACTTAATGATGTTATAATGAATCGTTTGCCAACTGATCCTATGGTTGTTAATGAACCTGGCTTTTTTGTCAATCTTTTGAGCAAGGTGAATATTCATCATTATTACATGTATTTTTTCTATATCTCTGCTAACTCTTTCTTCAAAGTAAAAGTTACTTATTTTAATAAGTAGCAAGATTACTTAAAAAGTATTACCAATTCATATGATTTAATGTTGGTAATAAAATTAATAAATGTAGATAGTGCATGACATAGTTACTCCATATTCACTGATGAATTTAATGAATTAAAATGTATAAACTGCTATATTATAGAAATAATTGCTTGATTTTGAGCTTGGATATTTTAACCCCTGTTTCTTATTTTGTAATTTAAACTTTCATTATTTTAAAATAATCCTTTAAAATAAAAAATTGGTTTAAAGAAAAAGTTAAGTAATAAGTTGATAATCTCAAAGATATAGTGATATTTAAAAATGTGAAGATGACACAAATGAGTAAAATTGGTGCTCAACGTTAACAACATGATTGGAAAGTTTGATTTTTCTTTCTATTTTTTCAAGATTATTAATACCCTGTCTGAAACAAATCGTGTTCTGCTGTGTGAAAACTTTGAAAGTTGGCTGCATTCAGCTATCCAGCATGCAATGTGTGTAGCTCATTTCATTCCCAAAGAAAGACGAGAGCTTGTGGTCAATGTCTGTCTCAAGGTAAACAAATTTTATCCAATTCATTTGGAGATGATAAAATTTGCATTTTCTCTATAATACTAAATTAAAATTAATATGTAAAGAGATAAGCTTTGCTAAATAAATTTGATCTTATTATTCATGATGTATTCAGCTACCTAATTGAATGACTTCACTGGATCAATGTCTGAATTGTTTTATTTAATAATGAATTTCTGTAGTGTTTAATAAAAATAGCCTTTTAATGTAGAAATAAATTGTTGTAATCTAGAAAAGGTTACTGAATAAGAATAACCAAAACGAAGGTTGGAAATGGAATGGTAATCTTTATAACATTAACAACATACAAGATTTGCTAGTGGCGTGTTGTAAGTAATCCACTACTAGTAGTGAAAATATTTATTTGTAATAAATTACAAAATGTGGCACAATGCCAAAAAGCAGAAATGTGGAAAAGGATGGTCTTCTGTCTTAACGTTAAACTTAGCTAGCTATGAACACTGAGCCAAACATACAACAATATTCCTTACACCAAAACAATGCACTTAACTTTCTTATTACATCCACCATAATTCCTTATTGTCTCCATGAAAGTACTAACTAGTCCCCTTATGTACAATTCATTGTCTGTGGAAGGAGGAGAATGAAATAACAATTTAAAAATCTAAAACTCCAATGAATATTTACAAAATGTACAAATGCTATTTACAAGAAACTAAACAAAATAATAATAAAACCCCCTACAATCCTTAAAATGGCAGAAACATCAGTTCATTGGATGAAATCAATGCAGGACTTTAATAATTCACCCACCTTTTGCCAAACTTCTTGCCTCTATAGAATTCCTTCTGACATGTCATCCAAATCACGACTCTCATGACATAGTGTTCAGCCTTCATCAACGGTGGCGCCACATTGCTACAAACAGAACTGGCCTCAAGGACAAAGAACTTTCTGCGCAGCATGCAAACCCTGAGGCCTTCAACAAACTTGCACAATGGCACTACGACCCTGCAATGAAAGAAGGCGTGACCCAAGTCTCAACCTCTCCATCACAGCAAACATAGTTTGGAGATATCTCCAAGCCCACCGCACATGAATCACCAGCCAGCTGAGTGATGCCTCATTGTTATTGAGGCATTTCAACCTGGGCGCCCATGACCATATTGACTGAGCCCCCTGCTTCTTAAGACCAAGCTTGTCAATCAGTTCATTATGAACGGATGCCCTAACTAACATATGATATAATGCCCTACGAAACAATACCTGCATATTGGAGAGGCCATCCGACGCATGTAAGAGGTGCTTCAGAGCAACATGACATTCATGGTAGAAGGAGAACTTGCACCGGTGTAAACGGATGGCCTCCTCCTCACACGAGTGTACACTTCTCAGGGATGGTAAGTTCTTATGGGTATCTTCCTTCCAGAAGGTACCCTCCTCATCCGAATTGCAACAGGAATGTGATGCAAAGCAGCGGCCATATTTGTCGCCTCAGTGGACATTCTTTTTAACCTAGCCCTAACTACCAGAGCTTAATCCTTCTTGATAAGCAAGGAGGCCAACTCTGCTCTAACTAAAGCTATATCCACACTATCACGGGATTTGATTATCTGATCTACTTTTTTCTCACAGGTTCTTTGCACTGCTAATCTAACTAGATTGAACCAACGACTATGATCAGCAGCAAACATTCTAATTTTGGATTTTAAATTATCCCACCAGGCATTCCCAGCCACAGCCCCCGTCAGTTCCCAGTAGCAGCTGGTCCTGGAAATCTTGCTTACCAAATAATGATGAGTTCAATTTCCAGTAACTGGCCATCCTAACCTTAGGCTTATCTAAGTTTACATGGACCCAGACAGGCCTATGACCGAATAAACTATGTAACGCAAACTTGGACACCCTAAGAGCCCTACATCGACTCTCCTGACTAAGACTTGATTGAGGTAGCTTGAACACACATCTGCACCTGGGCCGCCCCTATTTGTCCAAGACCATACTACCTCCTGAGGGTATTCATTCCGGTACTTAACAACAAGATCAAACTTATTGATAAAGTCCCGAAATGGTTTCATGTCCTGGTTTTCAGTACCTGATCTTGCCCCCTATACAATCTATATCGGGATCAAGGATGGCATTCCATTCCCTTGCAAAAACTACCCAATGAGATGTTGTCAAAAATGACTCAATCTGCTGAAACAAAGCAGGCCACTCAGAATGGTCATTGGGCTCATAAATCCCAATGAGATGAAGAGCCTTATCCTTTGTGGTAACATCCAGCATGCAAAGCCTGCTTGTCGGATCTGCGAAGACAAGAGCACATGTAACCTTCAAAGATTTGCTCACTAGCCAAAAGGCACCTCTTGAGCATCCATCAAAACATGCTGAATAGAAGGAAAACCCCCTAGATAGAATGCCTTCATAATCGTGAGAAGAAAACCAGGTCTCCTGCACACAATATACATTCACCCTGAGATGCTGAAGATCACAATCGAGCCTCGCCCTGCAAGACTCCAAACTCAGGCCCCGGGCATTTACACTAGCTAACCAGAGAGTCATAATGAAACCAATTAGGGTTACTCTCCTGTATTGAACATGCCTGGGGAAAGAACACCAACAACCTCTCCCATCAAACCAGTACCCATCTCAGTCTTGATGGTGCCATCAGCAGACAGTCCACTGATGTCCAAGGGGAAAATTAGCTTTAAAGCTCTATAAAGGGAGGAGTGAACAAAAAGTGGGAGCCTATATTGATTCAATTTTTTAACAGTCATTATTGAAACAGGCCATGGGAGAAACCATTTCAAAAACATGGTTTGCTTCCATGACCATGGCCCAAATTTGCTGACCAGCCTCACCAGATCAGATTACGGTCAAAACCCTTTTAGCATTCATAAAATTTCTTGGGTCTTCCACATCAAGATTATTTAAGTTCCTGAAATTCAAGAGTTTTTAAATTTTTCATTTTCCTAGAGTGTTGGAGTGCCTTTTCTTCTATTTCTTTAGAAACCAGGCACATGTCTTCCCCTATATTGTAAACAGGTTTTTGCCTTTTGGAATTTTCAGAAGCAATGAGAGTTTTGACAAGAGATGGCCTTGTGGTAATGGTTGTGCTAGAAGATGTGGTATGGTCCTTAGATGCTGCACTTTTATTGGGGGACTTTTCTAAGATTGTCATTTTGGAGGAGGTGGGAGATGGGGATCTCAGGACTGGAGGAGGAGTCATGAGGCATTGTATTGTGGAAGGGGAAGATGGTGCTGGGGAGGAAATGCAAGATTTTCTTTGAAGGTTCTTTTCTTTAAGTTTTTCTTTCTATTGATAAAGTTTCTCAGCCTTTTCAAAAGATGGTTCATACTTCAACTTCTGTTGCTTCTCCACAACCGCACTTGCGGCGAGCAAAGATTTTTGAGGGGGTTTCACCACACCAATTCTGGCTGTTGGCATGCCCATTACAGGTGAGACAGAAACAACAGACAGAGGGGGATTTGGGTCGTCAGGGTCCAGAACAGAGGTCTTCTTCTCTGGGCAGGAAGAGAAGAGGTGACCAGTCTCTCCACACTTCCAGCAAGTTGGTCATTGTCCTGTGACTATGATATGCATTTTCTGGCCCTCTACATCTAGGCAGTTGTGGATGGAGATGAAGCCCTTATGATCCACCATTATCTCAAAGCTCCATCCCCCAGTCAGATCATCTGAGGAAGCACTTGAGTATCTGTCCAAATTGGCACAGATAAGTGGCCAAGTGTTGCTCGACAATTGTGGTGGGACCTCATATACTGCTACATTAGTCCTATGCCTACCTTAATATTCGGTTCTCAGAATAAGATCTTTCATTATGAGGTCACGAGTGCTAATAGTTTTGCAGTCAGCAAGTGTGGGTAACAATATGTCCCACATGAAAAACCATTTTTTTTATAACTCCCTGCAGTTTAACCCCTAGGGATGTCAATGATTTAATTATTTGCATGAATGCTCATTGACCACAAAGACTGACACAATTCATTTCTCAACTTTCTGCAGTTCCTTGGGATTTGTCATGCATCCATCTTTTGTGACAAGATGAGCATAGGTCTTCGCTTTCTCCAGGAACTCTGTGATGTTGATATTTTGGTGGGCACATCCAAGACAGATTCTCTCCAACCATTACATTGTCATCTTTGTTGTTCTTGTCAATATTTGTTTCAGTTCTCTTGGGTGAATTTTGGCCTGTTTTGGCCACCATATTTTCCTCAGAAACATTTGAACTTTGGTAATTTCCAGCCACCATATCTATCATCATTTGAATTTTGGCCATTTCCGGCCACCATACTTTTTGAGGACTCCTCAATATTTTGAAACATCTCCACATTTTTTCGGTATTTGATTGTTTATCTGTTGGTTCGTTTTTCTTTTTTTAATTTCAAAAAGGTTTTTCTCACCATCTTCTTGGCACCCATTTTTTCCTTTTAAAAGACTTTCTTTTTTTTCTTTTAAACAGAAAATAAATTAAAACAAAAAAAGAAAAGATAAGATAAATCACAATTTCCTTTAGTTATAAGGAAACAAAAACAAATTTAACAAGATAAAACAGTAAGACGTACAAAAAGATTACTTACAAAATACTAACGTAAGACAGACGTGAAAAAATTGAACTTTTAAAAAAGTGTTATACCTGAACCACCCATTCTATTATTAATAGACTCTCCCACTCATAATAAGTAGTAGTAGTAGTAGGAGATAGGCCAGTTGAGCTCAATGGAGTTGAGTGAGTCAGTAATGTCTAACATTGAAGTATCAACCATCACAACTAGATTGCTACGTCATTAACTCTTATTTCAAGTTTCTAACGTTTTGTATGTTGAACCTAATTTAGGACGACTTAGTGAAATACAAGCCACTGTGAAAACTACTCTACAACAAAAAGGAAACAAAAGATGAAAAATTAAATAAAGACAAAGATAAAAACAGATAACAGTCACAAATAAAACGGAAAAAACAGGTCTTCCACACAAAGATTATTTACAAATGTGATGACTGA